TATGACAATGGAGGCAAGACATTTATAGGCACAATGGTGGCAAGATAAACATTTCCCACAACTCAAGCGTGGAATTTGAAATTAGTGGAATTGGTAGAGATGGCAAACTTGATTATTTTGATAAAAGAGAAAAGTATATTCAGTTTTGCTTCTACAGTGGTACATTGGTACTTATCCTTAATTGGTTCCGGGTAGAGTGTGATGAATACCAAAAGCAATGAATACCAAATAATCTTTTCCCATAAGGAATAATGTAGTGAGCCACAAGGCAGCCAACCCTGACGAGTTCTAGCTGGTGTGTTGAATACCAAACAAACGATGAGTACTGGGACAAAATTTTCACATCAAAATGTGTTGAGTACCAAATTTGATGAGTTTCACTGTACTTGGAGACCATTTATAGGCTTCTTGCTTGAGAAAAATGAAAATGAAGGATTGATTTTAGGGCTCGATGATTTGTTATGATTATAGAACTATTGTGGATTGTTATTCTTGCTAGTCACGAATACTTATATACGGTACATGTATAGGGCATATTTTTTATGTTCACGTTTAAACTTAAGAGTAAGTGGTGTTTATGATATATAATTCTAATGCTATTTGATTGTTTAATTTGTATACTTTTATACAATGTGTCATTGTTTTAACTTAAGAGTAAGAAGTTACTTTATATTTGTATCTATGTTGAAGAAACTCTGAAGTCAATTCCTTTTTTCTTGTCACTTTTAAACCTTTCCCCCTTTTTGATCTCCTCTCCCCTAATTTTTCCTTTTCTGTTATTTTGTAAATTCATCTTTTTTTTTTTTGAAATTTAATAAAGTTCACTTTAAAAAATGTACTTACAATTCTTCGAAGCAGAGGTGGGTTTCAGCAGGTTCTGACCAGTTCTGGAGAACCAGTAGCAGAAATTTTGAGTAATTCAGTAGTAAAAATTCTGATTGGCCCCACTCCCATCTATTCTCTGCCTCCCAAGTCCTAGCTGATTGGGAGGAAATGGGGATTTTGCAGTAAACTTCCCCTGGATTGGGGTGGGAATGGAGATTTTACAGTATCCTTCCCCTGCCACGCCCACCAAGCCATACCATGCCCACCAAGCCACATGCACAGAACCTGTAGTAAAAAAAATGGAAACCCACCAGTGTTTCGAAGGTGAAAAAACAGCAGAGAGAAGGTTTCCCCCCTTAGCCTCCTTTTCATATCTAAGTTATAAACCTTTCTGCATTGCATTGATGAGGTTTTCACTCCAGGTGAAACACAAAGCACCTTAATTCAAGAGCTCCCATTTCCTAGAATTTTCTTTTAACTGTCTCAACCAATTGCAAGTCTCTGGAACTTCAAGCAGCATTACAAGATCCTTCTATATACGATGCAGGGTTGCTAAATCCCTCTAAGTAGATTAAATCAGCCTTAAATTCTTCCTTCTGCCTTTTAAATAGCCCACTGATTAGCTTGTTGCTTTCCTAACACTTCAAGGTATCGCTGTGGGTGAAAAAAGGTAAGAAATACCCTTACTGTATTGGATTACAAGCCCAAATTATCTATAGAGTAATGCTGAAGTGTTTTGTTTAGTTTTTTTTAAATAAAGTCTGCTTTGTTTTCAGTTGGTTTTGGTATCTTACTTGTTTAGGCAAACCTTCTCAAAATGGCTTAAAATAAAAACATTACGTACAAGGATTTTAAAAGGGTTGCCAGAAGAAGAAATGAACTTGAATACCTACAAAATAAAACTAATGTTTTCATAAGACTTGTTTAACTCACTGTGTATTTATACCTGGTCAATTGTTTAGTTAAATTTGTGTTTTGTTTATTTATTTTTTAAAAAAAATATTTTAAATTGTACCCTGCCTGGAATCCCATTCATGAGGTGGACAGCTATATAGATTTGATAAATAAAATAGAAATAGTTGGTTCACTTTCATTTCTCCTACTATAAATTCTTTAGTCTTTCTTAGGCATCAGCAGATGGCTGCAGTTTTGTGTATGAACAGAACAAAGCGATAAGTGAGTGAAAAAAAGGTGCAAAGAAAGAAATAGAGGGAGAAAAGGAAAGAAAGAAAAAGTTATAGAGAGACTGCTTCCGACCTTCACAGCAATTATTAGTACATTTATATTTCACCTCTCTCTAAAATGACAACATAATGGGAGGCGGTGGCTCAGTGGCTAAGACACTGAGTTTGTCTATCGAAAGGTTGGCAGTTCAGCGGTTCGAATCCCTAGTGCCGCGTAATGGGGTGAGCTCCCGTTACTTGTCCCAGCTTCTGCCAACCTAGCAGTTCGAAAGCACATTTGAAAAATGCAAGTAGAAAAATAGAAACCACCTTTGGTGGGGAGGGAACAGTGTTCCGTGTGCCTTTGGCGTTTAGTCATGCCGGCCACATGACCACGAAGATGTCTTTGGACAGTGCTGGCTCTTCGGCTTTGAAACGGAGATGAGCACTGCCCCCTAGAGTCGGGAACGACTAGCACATATGTACGAGGGGAACCTTTACCGTTACCTAAAATGACAACATAATTTCCTTCGTACCATAGTCTGTCGTTTCTAATCATCAAACCCCTCCATCACGTTCATTTTATTTTCTTTTTTCAGCAAAAAGGCCATAAGGGATTTCCAATCACTAATAAATGTATTATCTAATCAGCCAACTTCCCGTTTATCTGTTATTTATTTTTAAGTCGGGAAGAAAGACATTCCTGTCACTTCCGCTCTTGTCTCTTTCAGCTACCTGCAAAGATGTGCGATCAAACCTTCGCGGCCAATATTTTTGGGCCGTGCGACATTTGTACCAAAGAGAAGGTTCTTCAACAAATATACTGCAAATCGGAGAAACGCAGCTGTTGTGGGCTATGCGTGAAACAGGTAAGGGCCTGCAATGATCGGAAGGCTGTTTGGGGGGGGAAATCTCCTGGACTAGTGTGGTGTCCCTTGTAGGTGGTGGCACCCCCATCTTCACTCTCCTACCGTCATCCTGCTAGTGGAGTGGGTTGAAACGAGGGGTCCTTGGTGGTCGCTGAGCTTGCTCGTTTTCTTGAAGACCTTTCATGACCCAAAGTAGGGAACAGCATCAGTGCAGAGTCATAGTGTAGGGCAGGGGGTCCTCAAACTCAAACCAGAAGACCTCTGGTGTAGGGAGTGGTAGTCCTGGGGTGCATCTGGAGGACCTGCCTTTTTAAGAACCAGGAGGACTTGCTCTCCAAATTCTGGGTAGTTCTTGCCAGATGCCAATAGCTCCGTTGTGAGTGATTTCTAATTTTTTTAAAAAAAAAGTTTTTTAATTAATATAATTCAAATTTAAAAAACAATGGACATGGTTTGACATCTCTGGTTTCTAAGAGAGAGAGAGAGAGAGAGAATACATAATGAAAAGAAGGATTAGGGGAGACATGATAGCAGGGTTCCGATATCTCAGGGGCTGCCACAAAGAAGAGGGAGTCAAACTATTCTCCAAAGCACTTGAAGGCAGGACAAGAAGTAACGGGTGGAAACTCATCAAGGAGAGAAGCAACCTAGAACTAAGGAGAAATTTCCTGATAGAACAAATTAATCAGTGGAACGACTTGCCTCCAGAAGTTGCGAACGCTCCAACACTGGGAGTTTTTAAGAAGAGACTGGATAACCATTTGTCTGAAGTGATGTAGGGTTTCCTGCCTAAGCAGAGGGTTGGACTAGAAGACCTCCAAGGCAGTGGTGAAATCCAATTTTTTTTACTACCTGTTCTGTGGGCATAATGGGCGTGGTTTGGTGGGCATGGCTAGGGGAAGGATACTGCAAAATCTCCATTCCCACCCCACTCCAGGGGAAGGCTATACTGTAAAATTCCCATTTCCTCCCTACTCCTGGGGGATGGGGGAAAAGGCTATTGCAAAATCTCCATTCCCACCCCACTCGGGGGCCCGCCAGAGATGCCATTTGCTGGTTCTCCAAACAGCTCAAAAATTCCCCGCTACCGGTTCGCTCTCCGAACTACTCAAAACTTCCGCTACCGGTTCTCCAGAACCTGTCAGAACCTGCAGGTTTTCACCCCCCTCCACCAAGGTACCTTCTAACTCTGTTATTCTATTTAACAGCTGAGATATTTGTTTAGCTGCAAAATATATATATATTTTATATATTATAATTTTTTTTTTAATTTGATTTATATGCCGCCTTCTCCGGAGACTCAGGATGGCTTACAATGCGTTAAGCAATAGCCTTCATCCTTTTGTATATTTTATACCAAGTCAGCTTATTGCCCCCACAACCCGGGTCCTCATTTTACCTACCTCGAAAGGATGGAAGGCTGAGTCAACCTTGAGCCTGGTGAGATTTTGAACTCGCAGTAATTGCAGGCAGCTGGTGCTACTTAACAGCACTTTAGTCTGCTGCGCCACCAAGGCTCTTTGGAAAATAGCTTGACTCCCTCTTCTTTGGGGCAGCCCCTCAAATATCCGAACAGTGCTATCATTGTCCCCCCTTAATCCTTCTTTTTTTTTTTTTAAAAAAAAAAATTGATTTATATGCCGCCCTTCTCCGGAGACTCAGGGCGGCTTACAATGCGTTAAGCAATAGCCTTCATCCTTTTGTATATTTTATACCAAGTCAGCTTATTGCCCCCACAAACTGGGTCCTCATTTCACCTACCTTAGAAAGGATGGAAGGCTGAGTCAACCTTGAGCCTGGTGAGATTTGAACCAGCAGAAATTGCAGGCAGCTGTGTTAATGACAGGGTGCACTAAACCCCTGTACTATCAAGGCTCTTTTATATTTTACTATATAAAATATTATATATATATATATTTTTATATATTATATATATATATATATATAAAAGGAATCTCAAAATCGGGTAGCGGCCACCTGGGCTCCCCAAGATTTAGCCCCCTTCTGCGCGGGGCTTCCACCCATCCATCCTCCATCCACCGGTGGATGCCGCGTGAGAAGGCTGCCCGGGCTCGGGCTCGGCGGGGGCGGTGGCTCCTCCTTCCAGCCCTCCCTCCCCTCCCCTCCCCTCCCTTCCCTTCTCCATCCTCCCCTCCCCATCCCTGGCTGGCTGGCTGGCTCCCTTGCGCGCTCTTCTCCTCTCTTCCCCTTCTGGCCAAGATGGCAACCGAGGGGCTGCAGGAGAAGGAGAGCCTGGCCGGGCTGAAAACCGAGGCGGAGAGTCTGAAGGGCAAGCTGGAAGAGGAGAGGGCCAAGCTGCACGATGTGGAACGTGAGTCGGGGCCGGGCTGGGCGAGCTGCGCCCCGGGCATCGCCGGAGGGAGGGAGGGAAGGAGGCAGCCGGGCGCAGCTCCTGCGAGGCTCTTGCAACCCGGGGGGGGGGGGGGGCAGCAGGGAAAGGGTCCCTCGGGGGCAGCCCCGGGCGGGGAAGGGGCGCCGCCCCAGGGCATGCAACCCACCCTCTGCACGGGCGGCTGGCGTAAACAACGGGCACCGCTGGGCGGAGACGCTGGAGAGATGCCCAGCCAGCCCAAAGCAGCGGCGGGCCAAGAGGGAATTGGGGAGGGGGGCGTCCCTTGGGTCATGGGTGGGTGGGGGGAGAGGCAATGGAGAGACCCCCCCTCTTCTCCTGCCTGCCTGCCCTTTTTTTTTTTTTTTTTTTTTTTGCACCTCCTGCCTTTCTCTTCCTGCCAGCCAGCGAAATGGGCACCGGTGCCCTAGAAACATTCCCAGCTGTCCCCAACCTGGCGCCCTCCAGAAGGGGGAATTGGGGAGGGGGGCGTCCCTTTGGTCATTGGGAGGGCAAGGCAATGGAGAGACCCCCCTCTTCTCCTGCCTGCCTGCTTTTTTTTTTGTACCCTGCCTCCTGCCCTCTGCCCTTCTCTTCCTGCCAGCCAGCGAAATGGGCACCTGTGCCCTAGAAACATTCCCAGTCGTCCCCATTTGCAACCTGGCGCCCTCCAGAAGGGCCTGAACTGGACCCCGTCTCTCCCCTCCAGGAATCTGGGCAGCTCAGTAAGGGTCGGTGTGGGGAGCTAACTAGGTTTGGACAGGCCTGGGGTGCAAACTGCTGTTTTTTGGGCTGGGGGTAGGGTTGGGGTTGGTCACCTTAGAATCAATCCTCCAGGCACCTCTGGATTTGGGAGTTTGGAGTTCTTGTTGGTTGGCTTGGATCTGCTGGTACCCAGATCCAAAAAAAAAAAAAAACCACTTCGAACTTGGCTGGAGTTTAACAGTTGTCATCCCTATGCTTGCATAATTCGAAGGTTTTGGGTAGAAAAACCGGAAGCTATTTGAATTGTAATGTATTTAAAAAATATATGCTCCATTCCATCCGTTATAAATTATCCCTCCGTGGATAAATTAACATTTGAGTTAAAAGATAAGGTAGACTCAAAATACTACACTGGTCTGACGGGATAAAGGTTTTTAAACTGGGTTTTGATAGGGGATTTAAAATGATTTTAGTTGGGTGTTTTAAATTCGGCCAATGATTGAATTATTTTAATTAAGTTTTTAAATTTTTGCTGTATATTGTTTTTACCATGGCTGTTCACCGCCCTGAGTCCTTCGGCAGAAGGGCGGTATATAAATATAATTAACTAACTAACTAACTAACTACACAGCGTGGAATAGATGGTACAATTGGATAATTGTGTCTTGTGAGCCGCCCTGAGTCTTCAGAGAGAGGCGGCATATAAATTGAATTAATTAAATTCACTTAAATTCAATTCAGAAGAAAGGAGGGTAAATGTAAAATTTTGTAAGGCAATAAAATTAACAAACAGGCACCTTCAACAAGATAAAGGATGTGATAAAGTTACAAAGTCACTTTCTACATTTTTTTTCTTTTCTTCCTTTTCTTTTTTGTTTTGTTTTGTTTTTCTATTTTTTGTTGTGAGTTAGTAATGCTGCTCGTATTAATATAAATGTATTCTGTATATACTCGATATGGTATTTTATCTTTTTAAGTTTAATAAAGTTTGTTTTTAATAATAATAATAATAAAAAATATGCTGTCCAACTACAGTGATTTTGGACAACAGAATAACTATCAGAGTTAGAAGTCTTCTAATCCACCCCTCTGCTCGAGCAGGAAACCCTCTGCCAGTGGTTCTTCACCACGGAACCCCTTTAAATACCTTTTGTGGCCACAGATCCCCAAGATTTAAGATTTAACCACAGATTGAGAATCACAAATGCCCGATACCGTTTCAGACAAATGGACGGTAAAAATAGATTAAATTGTGTCTCACTGCCTTCTCTAAGAACTGCATGGGCTTTCATTTTTATCGCCACTGCAGTCCAGTGAGAGGTGCTAGGTTGAGCAGAGCGGACTTCCCTACCCATCTTCCTTGACTCATCCCCTCCAGATGTGTCCAGCACCAACTCTCCAATCCTTAGCCAGTTGTGGCTGAGAGTTGACCAACATATCTGGAGGGCACAGACCTGTAAAAGGTGGACAGCTCACCTCACAGGGTTGTTGGGATGAAGAAAATAGGAGAAGGAGTGTATTATATGTCTCCATCAGCTTGAATTATTTATAATAAAGGCAGGATTTAAAAAAAAAAAATCTTTAAAAAAATCCCAGAATTCCCCAGCTAGCATTTTGACTTCAATTCCTAGAGTTCCGCAGTCATCACTGGGAATTCTGGGAGTTGAAGTCCACGCCTTTCAAAGTTGCCAAGTTTGAAAGCATCATTGCATTGTTAGACTTTTTCCTTCCCCCCCAAAAAAACTCTTTGGCCATCAGGGAGTCTGAATCTAAAGCGACATTTCTTGCTTTTCTCAGGCAATGTATTTTATTTTTCTCTTTTAAATGCTTGACTTCCTTGGGCCGTTAAACAATTTGGATGCATGGAGCACTTTGAGGACTTGTCTCGCATTCAGGACATTCCAGCCAAAAGAAAGGGAAAAAAAAGGCTTAAGAGAAGTTTATTCCGGTCCCCTTTGTTGCGTTCATTTCTCTTTCCTGGTGAAATAAATGCATTTCACTGATATTTTTTATCTTCCAAGAACGCTGAAATTTTTAGAGGTCTTTGGCCTTGAATAATGGGGATAAAACCCACCGAGTCCTGCAAGGCCTGGTGCAATAGTGGGTTTCAATTTAGTTTGTTACCGGTTCGCTACCCGTTCGCATGTGCAGAAGCGTCTGGGGGGGGTGGGCGGAGTCTCCCGCCGCTACCAGTTTGCCTGATCTGGGACGAACTGGTAGCAACCCCCTACTGGCCTGGTGAACCTTTTTTCCCAGAGTGGAAAATAATTGTGAAAAGAAAGTGAATGTTTTAAAACTTCCTGACCTGTTCACCAGTATTTGGCTTTTCCAGCAGATGGGAATTACTGTAGCTTTTCCTGCCTGCAAGAAGATCTACTTCTCTTATTCCAAAAATATAAAACGAGAAAGCTTCTTCGGGATGCTAGCGGTTGCTTTCTGAACGGCCAATCCATCACCGTGAGGATTAAAGAGGCAGAAATGGGTTGCTTGAATGGTAGCCAAATAAGCCATAAGGCACCGCTCGTCAGTACTGGGTTCAGGAGTCCTGCCAAAAAAATAACCCTGCCAGCAAAGACAGAGACCGGTGGTGGGAGTTCAAAGTCTGTTTGGCCCCGTAAGTGCTCTGCAAAAGAGGAATCTGTCCTGGAACTTGTCAAGGATGCGTTTGGGAGCAAAACAAGCCTGCTTACAAAAAATACTTCTGAATTCAGCTTTTTTTTTTTTTTTTTTTTTTGCTGGCCTTCTCTTTGGAAGCGTTGTGGAAGGCAGAATGAAATTTTTCAATCGGCTTTTGAAATGGATTGTCGATGTGTGTGTGGATGGCCGTTGCTTCTTTAACTGCAGTTTTAAGAAGATTTGATGTGGTTTTAATGGGGCTCCCCCAGGGTGGATTTGATTTAAATCGAGTTGATTTAAATCACAATTTAAATCATGATTTAAATCACTAGTAAAAAGGCTTGATTTAAATCAACTCGATTTAAATCATAATTTTTAAAGAGCAACTGTCATCTCTGCTACTCTTTTGACCCACTGTTGACTCACCAATAGTCCCAGTGTTGCAGAATATACAGCCTCCTGCTACATAACTAAGCTCCATTTCATGCTGAATAAACTAAATTGTTTATGTATCTTAAATAGAAAACTAGCTCACGGTAGATTTTTATCCCAAAAGTTTTTTATTAAAATAAATTCGATTTAAATCAAAAAAATCTGATTTTTTTTATTTTTTTAAAAAAAATCATTGATTTTTATCTACCCTGGGCTCCCCCTTTTTTTAGGACGAGAGTTGATGCTTTTTAAGGAAGCTTATTCTCTTCCTAGTAGAGAGGATTGCTCCTAAAAGACAGCATTTTACCAGTAGTGAAATATTAATAAAAGTGGCTGTGTTGGTTTAGGATAGGGGTCTCAACATTTGGCAACCTGTCGACTTTTAACTTCCAGAATTATTCTCTTAAACCAGACCTGTGGACTTTTAACTCCCAGAATTCCCCAGCTGGCATGGCCGGCTGGGGAATTCTGGGAGTTGAAGTCCAGAAGTCTTAAAATTGCCAAGTTGGGAGACTCCTGATTTAGGAGCATAAATGATGCAACATAAAAGAACCAGTCATTTCCAGAATTCCAACGAGGTTGGTTGTCCAAAGAGAGCTGTAGAATTTGAAAAATTGGACATGGTGGGATTTTGTTGGACCTAATAAAATATTGCCCAAAGATCTGTAATAAGTAAATATAAATCTACTTTCTGAAATGCAGTGGGCATAAAAGTTCCTAGAAATCCCTCAAGTCCTTTCCCCTCAAATTTGCAATATTCTTCTGCACAGCGGGACAGATGGACCATGTTTCCTGCTTTTATAAAATAGCAAGTCCACATACAACGTGAGAAATAACACAGAGGACCTCACAGATAATTCTAAGCGTTTCCCAAAACTTTAGTTTTCAATTAACACAAAAAGGAGAAAGAAGGAACGAAGGGGGAAAAAAAAAGATGTCCACTCCATTATCAACTCAGTGGGTGACTCGGAGCTACCACTGTCGCTCCTCTGTCCACCCTATTTCACGGGTTTGTGGAGGTTATAAAATGGAAAGGTGAGAGAACAGTCAACCTGAGCCTCTTTTAGAGGAATGTGTGAATAAATGTGTGAATAAATAAAATGAATAGCGCTTCTACTTCTGGAGGTTGGAAATTGCGAGAAAACAACCCTTGTGGAATTCCACCTTCTCTTAGAAGTAAGCTTGTTCTTATTCTCTGGTGCTGCTGTGGCCAAGAGATGTTGAGTTGATGATCAACGGTAGACTAGGTTCATTCTTCATTCCTGGTTAGATTTCCATAATTCCCAGTCAAAGGTCATTCTGACTAGAGATTAAGAATCCTAAAATCCAAACATACCTAGAGAATATCTGTGATCGTCTGAGGAGTGAGGGGATGGTTTTGGGGGTTTTGATTTACTGAGGGAAAATCTGGACCTCTCAGATTCGGGTTTTCCCAGATGGGCCAGTTTATCTATTATAGTAAATAGAACTTTGAAAAATGCTTGCTTCAGAGTTTTACTTGAAGTTGGGGTTTTTTCTGGAACTCTGACACCCGCTTCATTTCCCTGGGTTGACCCGTCTTCTCCAGGTCTTCTGCTAATCCCCTTCTTAGGGGATTTGCATCTTGCATGGGGTCCTGACTGGGCCTGCTTCAGGGGTGTCCTGAGTCTCAATGCCACTTGTGAATTTCTCGTAGTGCATCAGGTGGCGGAGCGCGTGGAGGCTTTGGGACAATTTGTGATGAAGACACGGAGGACCCTGAAAGGCCATGGTAATAAAGTCCTCTGTATGGACTGGTGCAAGGACAAAAGAAGAGTTGTCAGCTCTTCTCAGGTAACGGGAGTTTTAATTTGTTTATTTTTTTTTTCAGCTTCTTTCTAGACTGGTGTTTCTTAACTTTGACAGCTTGAAGATGGGTGGACTTCAACTCCCAGAATTCCCCAGCCAGCAATGCTGGCTGGAGAATTCTGGGAGCTGAAGTCCACCAATCCTCAGAACTTTCAAGGTTGAGAAACATCTAGTCTAGACCAATGTTTCTTAGCTATTGTATCTTCTGTTCTATCCATCCTCTCTGTCAAAGAATTGGGGTTCCACCAGAACAGAAACCAAGCACACATTTTTTTCCCTAAGAAGGTCAAGATATAGAATATGTTCAACCATGCTCTCCCAAGGTTGATGTTACAGAAAGTCTCCTTGTCATAAGCACAAAAGTCAAAACAAAGGAGAACCTGGAGGTCTTGATCCAAGTGTTGTCTAAGGCCAGCAGCTCAACAAGGACATTTACATCAAATTAGCCTGATCATGAAGGAAGTGAAAGTGTCCCTGAGGTTCTCCCCTTGGGATGGAGAAATGCTTGGCCAGTTGAGAAGTCCATCTAGATAAGCATCGTTTGCTCTGGGCTGGAACTGGATCCTGGTTTTGGCCTCATAGCTGAGTAGGAATAAAAAGGTCCGTGGTCATTAAGAACACCATGGGAAGCTCCAGAGAAAAAACATCGGTGGTGACCCACCAAAGCCCACTTGATGTACACTAGGGGTTGCTCATGAGTCTTTGAGACATCATGGGATAACAACGCCACCTTCCTTGACTGCCACTAAGATCAGATTGATTAAGGCAGAATTATCGGGGCTGACTTCATGGTGATATCTCAAAAGGGTTTACTTTCGTTGATGTTATTTTTTGAAAGTTGACACCCCATCGGTTTAATTAAGTCAGGGCTCCCGTGCCTCATAAATTCCTGTAATTAGAGGCAGAAGGCGTAAGCAGAATTCAGTCAGTGGACTCAATTGCAGTGTCACTTCAAAATAAACACAGACATTTCAGAGTGTTTTTATTCTTCCTTCTTTAGGACGGGAAGGTGATCGTTTGGGATGCCTTCACCACCAATAAGGTGAGTTGCTTTTTAGAACATCTTTCCTCATAAGATTGTGCACAGTCTGAAGGATTTGTTGGATGGGGGAGAAGGGAGAGAAAGTACGTCCCATTTTGACTTTCATTTGCATTCCCAGCATTAGACTCTTCTCCAGTGAGACCTTCCTTCTCATTAGATGGCCAAAGTATTTGAGTTTTATCTTCAGGATCTGGCCTTCTAAAGAGCAGTCAGGATTGATCTCCTCTAGGACTGACCGGTTGGATCACCTTGCAGTCCAAGGGACTCGCAGGAGTCTTCTCCAGCACCAGACTTCAAAGGCCTCCATTCTTTGGCGTTCATGATATAATTCTTTGGCCTTGATGATATCCAACACCAAATTTGTGGCTGGTGTTGTAGGAATTGGCTACATTTTGCCCTTGGGCTTTTTCTCTAACATCTCCATGAGCTTCCCAGACCAGAGTCCCTTGTCTGGTGGCAAGGCTGGGTCGAATGTTGGCTTGAGAGATGCAAGGAATGCTTTCTATTTCAGGAGCATGCGGTGACGATGCCCTGCACATGGGTGATGGCATGTGCCTATGCTCCGTCTGGATGCGCCATTGCATGTGGGTAAGCAGAAGCCTCTTTAAGGAAAGGTATTTGAAAATCAGTGTTCTGGATCATGACAAACAATGCTACTCTTTCTCTTAAACTGATGGGTTCCCAAATGGAAAATTTTAATATTGGCTATATATAGGTCGATCGGAAGGTCGGCAGTTCAGCAGTTCGAATCCCGAGTGCCGCGTAACGGGGTGAGCTCCCGTTACTTGTCCCAGCTTCTGCCAACCTAGCAGTTGGAAAGCAGGTAAAAAATGCAAGGAGAAAAATAGGGACCACCTTTGGTGGGAAGGGAACAGCGTTCCGTGCGGCTTTGGCGTTGAGTCATGCCGGCCATATGACCACAGAGACGTCTTCGGACAGCGCTGGCTCTTCGGCTTAGAAACAGAGATGAGCACCACCCCCTAGAGTCGGGAATGACTAGCACATATGTGCGAGGGGAACCTTTACCTTTTTATATACAGTAATGGAATAAAAAACCTCCTCCAGTAAAATAACCCAGCCCAAATAGAAAACATAGAAGAATAAACAGGAGGCGTCCAATCACCATTAAGTTTCAAACGCCTGCCTTAATACGATTATATTCACAATTACATTCAGGCAGAATTTGAAGGCGATCCTGGAAACGAATAGGCCAGATCCACCTCTGGAGATACGAGACCAGGGCTATCACTGAGAAGATCTCTTTTCCGTTATATTTAGTTACCATGATACCTTGGTACTCATCATTAATTGGTTCCAGGAGGCGTGACAGGTAGTAAAAATGATGAATGCTTAACATGTGGCCCTTTGTTTTAGCTAAAGAGGCTAGCGAGTCATGAGACAGCCGACACTGACAACTTCTAGCTTGCATGCCGAGTACCAAACAAATGATGAGTTCTGGGGCAAAATTTTCGCATCAAAATGCACCCCAAATTTGATGATCTCCAGAGAAGTTAAGTACCAGGGTAGCACTGTATTTATACTGTAGGTCACCTTTCCATCCATTGACCCTCAACAGAGCTTTCAGCAAATGTAATGCAACGATTACCAGTGAATTAAATAAAATTTACAAACAGAGTAAGAGGTCTCTAGAAGGACCTCCCATGATACAGCTTCTGAAGACTCCTAGAGGAAATGAGATAAAGGAGGAGATGTCTGTCCATATCTCAGGTTGTTCCCATCTCAGATTTTCAATCTAGTCCAGAAGTAAATTGATAATCCAGGAGCTTTGAGGGCTTCATGGTTGCAAGGTCCATACAAGTAGCATGGCTCAGGTGACACTAGCAAGATTAAATAGATCGTGTTGTGGTCCGCCAGCAGCCTGCGGAGCTGACAGCAGAGTCAGACAGCGAGGAGGCTGGGGAGAAACATGGGCCAGTCCTAGAGTCTAGAGAAGGCCCGGATGAGGGCTCTGCATCGGAGGCAGAGATGGGGCCAGGGCCATCTGGGAGTGATGTGCGGACTCCGGAGCCTCCAGAGTCCGACAGCAGAGAGGCAGAGGAACAGGAGGAGCCTGTTCCCAGTGCGCGCATGCGCAGAGATGCCAGAAGGCACAAACAGTTAAAACAAAAGGGACGACTCGGGAGTAAGGCCTGGAGATGATTGGCCCCTCCCATAAGGCTTAAAAGAGGAGCAAAGGCATGTGGGCACTTTGCAGGAAAGCAACATGGTTAATTCTGTTCCCAGTCAGCATCTCTGTTTGATTCTGGAATCCGTGTGGCTTTGCCAAGTAGGCAAAGTAGGTCTTTGGCAGAGTGTCAAGGGAGAGAAAGGTTGGTGATTATCCCGAAGGACTTCTCACAACTAATTGGGACTCAGCTGTGAATGAACGTAATTCACAGCTGTTGCAATAAAAGAGGTTTTTGGGACTACTCGGGTGTTTTAATGACTCAGGAAGCCTAGGTCACCACAGGTTGGTTTTATTACCGAACCTGAAAATGGGTGGGCCCTCTGATTATTCTGAATACTGAATTATATTTTGGAAAAGACCCCTTTGTGTGCATGTGTGGGGAAGAAACTAAGACACTTGCTACCATGGTCTATTTTCTCAAAGAGACCATGGGTAGAACGCTCCTGTGATATTTTCAAAAAGGACCTTCCTTCTCTTTTTTTCCTCACTTGTTTTTAATCTAGTGGTCTGGATAACAAATGCTCGGTATACCCCCTGACCTTTGAAAAAAAACGAGAACCTGGCTGCTAAGAAGAAATCTGTCGCAATGCACACTAACTACTTGTCAGCTTGCAGCTTCACTAATTCTGATATGCAGGCGAGTACATCCAATGTGCATCTTGTTGTTACTCTTCGCATTGGAAAAGTTGTGTAGTTCAGAGGGAGCATGGTTTTCACTATCCCTGTAAAAACACTCATTTGGGGTTTTTGGGGATAGGCATGGCTAAAACATTCTTTGTTTCATAGAGGAAAATCAGAGTCGCCCCTTTTATCATCCCACAGAACTGAAGTCCACCTAGTAAGGGCTCCTATCATCATCATCATCTTTTAACGACCCCATAATCCCTTGCGGGGTGGATCTGGGCAACTGAATGGAGCTAGCAGAGTGTTTTAAAGGCCGGATGCCCTTCCTGTCACCAATGCGGAGTTTTGTTCAGCAGATACATTCTCATTGTGCCCAGAGAGAGAAATATCTGCCTCTACCTAGGATCGAACTCACAGCCTCCTGATTGTGAGGCGAGAGCTCCACCTCTAGGCCACCTCAACACTCCTAATAAGGGATCCTATCCTCCCCCCCGCAAAAAAAAAAAAATTAAAAAAATATGGAAAAGAAAATTGCAAACTTTGAAAATCCTCAATTTGTGGATAGAAAAATTGGCTGATGGTTTCTCCATAATTCTTCAGGAGGAGAAGACGTTCTCCAAAAATTTCTGAAGGCAAAATTCTCCTTCTGTGACGGAGGTCAGTCTACTGCTGGAGAACCCCAGTGAGAAATGTCTGTGGAGATTCTCAGTCATCCAGGATCATGGTTGTCCCAAAGATAATTTTTTTTCAAGAGGCAACTGGACCTCCTTTGTTTTTCCTTGAAGATGTTTCACTTCTCATCCAAGAAGATTCTTCAGTTCTGAACTGAAATGTCGTCAAGGAAAAACAAAGAACGTCCCATTGTCTCCTGAAATAAACACCTTTGGGACACTCCAGTGAGAAGATTCTCATATTCGTCTTCTCTTGGAACTGAATGAAACTGGGGAGGCTACAGACCAAGGAAGAAAGGATTGCTGGAGAAGCTCACACAAGCTCCTTCTCCACCTTGTGTCAGCACTTCAAGCTTCATTTACTCTAGTGCTGACATAAGAAGGAGAAGCGGAGGCGTCTGGAAAGGGACGTTTGACTTTTCACCTACTTATTTTCCCTGGAGATAATATCCCCTAGGAGATGAGATGGGAGGGGGGGAAATTCCTTTGAGCTGGAGCAGTAGATTAGGGGTAGAATGACTTGGAAGATGGCCAATGAGTGCAGGGGAGTGGGGAACGGAAAGGGAGGGTTTTGGGTCTGGAAGTCAGTGTTGGCTACAATGAGCCAGGATCTAGAATGTCGTGCTCAATAAATGGGAGTTTTTATCAAAGACTTTGTTTGAAATGCAATTTATTTGAGACGACCTCGAAACTTGACACCTTGCTAAATTCAGTGGTGCTCCACTTAAGAGAACGTTCGCTTAACATTCTCTTTTTCTTTCTGAAAGAAATGCCCAAGGTGCTTTTGGTGCAAAATTGAGCATGGCGTTAGATCTCTTTCAGTGTGCTAGCGAAATATCAGCTCGAGTGGAGTCTATTCTGGGATGTGAGAGGAAATTGCTATTTCCCACTCCGCTGTTTCCAGGAATAAGCCCAAGATGACGGTGCAAGTCTATTGCTATGGAAACCAGTGTCACCCATCTACCTGTGGGCTCTGAGTATATGAAACTGTAGCCTTGAGAAAGGGGAGGCTGGTGGAATAATTAAAGCCAATATGATGCAGAATCAGGAGTCTCTGACCATTCTGAATCCCAGATTTACTTTTGGAGATGTTTTGGGAAGTGGTCTATAAGGAATGAGAAATCACTGAAAAGAGATTTTTTGGGTGAAAAGGCCTCCATTTTTCTAGACGTTGGCATTCTTTTGAGCAAAAATGTGGCTTTTCTTTTTTAAATTTTTCAGGGACAAATTACAATATAATGGATGGAACTTGCTGTCAAGTTTCGAGGTCATCTCAAATAAATTGCATTTCAAACAAAGCCTTTGAAGAAAAACTCCTATTTATTAAGCACGGCATTCTAACCTGACTCCAAACGAAGCCAACACTGACGTCCAGCCCCAAAACCCTCCCTTTCCGTTCCCCACTCCCCTGCACTCATTGGCCATCTTCCAAGTCATTCTACCCCTAATCTACTCCAGCTCAAAGGAATTTCCCCCCTCCCGTCCCATCTCCTAGGGGATATTATCTCCAGGGAAAATAAGTTGGTGAAAAGTCAAACGTCCCTTTCCAAATGCCTTCGCTTCTCCTTCTTATGTCAGCACTAGAGTAAATGCAGGTTGAAGTGCTGACACTTGCTCTGTTTGGCTGCTCCCATTTCAAACAGGAATTGCATCTCATTGCTTCTTAATCAATGGTCAGCATGCAACTCCTTTGCCCCATTATGGCCTCTGAAGCCAAGAAAATGAAGTTCTCGCTCTTACATATTTGTGTTTGATTTAATCACAGTGTTGACTGCACAGATGGGGGAACAAAAGACCAAATCACTCTTGTTTTTGGTAGACCCTGGTACATTTTGCTCTCCGAATTTATGGAGACCTAACCCTAAGTGGGTTTGGCCCCCCCCAATGGGATTTTCCCATGTATTTTACCAGGAAATGTAGATAGGGTGGGTTCAAAAACTCAGCACCCTCCTAAGCATTCCGATGGGCTAGGAATCCGTCAGCGAAGTACATTTTGCTCTCCGAATTCATGGAGACCTAACCCTAACAGGGTTTGGCCCCCAATGGGATTTTACCAGGAAACGTATAGGGCAGGTTCGAAAAGTCAACCCCCTTCTAAGCATACTGAGGTGCTAGAAATCCATTGGTGAAGCCCATTTTGCCCTCCAAATTCATGGAGATCTGATTCCTCTCTTGATTCCATGCTCCCAGCCTCTGCCTTTTCTTCTCCTACCATTGAAGACCAAAGTTTTAGTAAATCAATTAATTCAGGGGAGAGAGAGACAGTCCTTTAATAAGAATCAAAGGACCGTGTGACGGGGGGTTTGGTGAATCAAGGAAGAAGCCAAGAGAGTTCGTGATTTGATGCACATGGTTTGAATGGCCTCTTTGATTTTTTTTGTCTCCCCCGCTAAAGATCTTGACTGCAAGTGGTGATGGTACTTGTGCCCTCTGGGACGTCGAAAGCGGGCAGCTTCTACAGAGTTTCCACGGACACGGTGCAGATGTCTTGTGCCTGGATCTTGCTCCTTCAGAAACCGGGAACACGTTTGTGTCGGGGGTAAATCAAGCTTATCTTTACGCAGGATGGGGATCAATGACCACTTTGCTTAATGATAGTTTCCCAGCCACAATTGATGGTTGTTAAACGAGGAGTCGCCTTACTGCTGCTGTTAGGGCTTGTGGACACAGGGTGAGAGCAGGAGGCAGATGTTAATGCTGTACAAGGATATTTCAAACAAACAGCATCCGTTTTGTGATCTCTTGTGCTCTTGGAGATGGAGCTAGAGCTTCTTATTATGTTGTTGTCATTTGTTTTGTTTTTTTAAACAAGTTTTTATTTATTTTTTATTCCATATACATATTTTGTGGACAGTATATTGATTGGGTCAAGTCCAGTGGTGAAATCCAAATTTTTTTACTACCGGTTCTGTGGGCGTGGCTTGGTGGGCGTGGTGTGGTGTGGCTTGGTGGGAGTGGCAGGGGAATGATACTGCAAAATCTCCATTCCCACCCCACTCCAGGGGAAGGATACTGCAAAATCCCCATTCCCTCCCCACTCCTGGGGGAAGGATACTGCAAAATTTCCATTCCCACCTCATTCTGGGGCCCGCCAGAGGTGGTATTTGCTGGTTCTCTGAACTACTCAAGATTTCCGCTACCGGTTCTCCAAACTGCTCAAAATTTCTGCTACCGGTTCTCCAGAACTTGTCAGAACCTGCTGGATTTCACCCCAGTCAAGTCTTTTTTTTTTTTTTAAAAAAAAACCAATGTTAACACTAATAATACAAATCAGTATCTATAATCCTAATGTCCCAACTTCAACGATGCTATTCTTTTTTTTTCATAATCCTTTGTCATTTTCCCATTAATTCATTTAAACATTTCTTTATGCCATATATTTGTTCCCCTACTAAATGCTATTATTTAATATTTTAAAAATTACTCATTATACCACCATAATTTCCAGATTCCAAATAGGATTATTAATAATGCCAAATATTAACAATATTTAATCAATCCCGGGAGTGTATCTCCAAGTCCCCACAATTTCCAATTCTTAATAAATAAAGTTCATAATATACTTTAAAACACCGTAAACAGGGGTGAAATCCAGCAGGTTCTGGAGAACCGGTAACAGAAATTTTGAGCAGTTCAGAGAACCGGTAGAGGAAATTTTGAGTAGTTCGGAGAACCAGCAAATACCACCTCTGGCTGGCCCCAGAATGGGGTGGGAATGGAAATTTTGCAGTATCCTTCCCCCAGGAGTGGGGAGGGAATGGGGATTTTGCAGTATCCTTCCCCTGGAGTGGGGTGGGAATGAAGATTTTGCAGTATCCTTCCCCTGCTATGCCCACCAAGCCATGCCCACCAAGCCACACCAAGCCATGCCCACAGAACCGGTAGTAAAAAAATTTGGATTTCACCACTGACCGTAAATATTAATAATACAACTAAATTTCCTTGTTGTTATTGTCATTTGTTTAGGGATGTGATAAAAAAGCAATGATCTGGGACATGCGGACCGGACAATGCATTCAATCCTTCGAAACCCACGAGTCAGATATTAATGGTGTCAGGTGAGAATCCTATTTTTGAAATGGTGCATCGGGGCCTATTAACCCAAAAAAAAAAGAAGCTTTGCGGGCGCAGGGCAGAAGAGGGAGAAGGCAATGGAATGGGCCTCTTGTGCCATCTCACAGCTGGTCTGCCGTCCTCTGGATCCAACATGAAACTGAAGAACTGTTGGGAAACACCGAGCCAGGCAAAGTGTAGGGATCAAGCAGGGAAGTAGCCTCGAATCTTTGCACAGCCGCAAGAGACATAGGGCTGACCTCCTTTAAGTTCCATGGGGCCATAACTGTTTGTTCCCAAGAGAAGGCAAGCAGCCTGGGGAAAAATTCCTGTACTATAGGTAAAACACAATAAAATAGTTACCCATATTTTTTGGACTATGAGACACACCTAGATTTCAAAGAGGAAAAGAAGAAAAAAAAAGTTTTTGGCTTCCACGCGTCTGGTTTTTTGCCCTCCCCGGTCCCCAGGAGCACTCTGCAGGCTTCCCAAATCCTCTGCACATCCCTTTATTTGCAAAACCGGGACGTGTGTGTGTGTGGGGGGGGGGGGTTGGGAGGCCAAAACCAGGGCCGTATTCTGTCTATAAGACACACCGACATTTCCACCCACTTTTTTGGGAGGGAAAGTGCATCTTATAGTCCAAAAAAATACAGTAACTTGAACTTTTCACCTAAGGATCTGGTTTTGCTAGCCCCTGACAAGGACTGATTCAAATGATCTTGGCTTGTCCAGTGTCAGTGAAAATCTGGATGTGAGTCAATACGGGAATCTCCCTTACTGGTGCCATGCAGTCAGGGTCATGGCCTGGTAAAATCTTGGCACGATCAAGGGAAAGTCCAAGGGCTCAGCTGTGTTTTGCAAGAATTGCCAAATATTGCTTCAAAAGTGTGCTGACCATTTTTGATTTCTCTTTGTTAAGGTACTACCCAAGTGGAGACGCCTTTGCTTCTGGCTCAGATGATGCCACAGTACGTAACATTATTTAATTTTGAGAGAGACACATTCCTTTCCCAAAAACGAAGGCTCGACCTAAATAGAGGTCCCAGCGGCTTGTTGGATGCAGCTTGTGAATGACTGATTAAAGTGGCTTAGCTATCATATGTAAGACCATTTGCTGTACCTTCAATGTATGTTCAGAAGAGATGATTTGTGGTGTTCAGAGAAATAACTGGTTGTCTGGGATAGAGGGACACGGTGGCTCAGAGGCTAAGACGCTGAGCTTGTTGATCGAAAGGTTGGCAGTTCAGCGGTTCGAATCCCTAGTGCCGTGTAACGGGGTGAGCTCCCGTGACTTGTCCCAGCTTCTGCCAACCTAGCAGTTCGAAAGCACATAAAAAATGCAAGTAGAAAAATAGGGACCACCTTTGGTGGGAAGGTAACAGCGTTCCGTGCGCCTTTCGCGTTGAGTCATGCCGGCCACATGACCACGGAGACATCTTCGGACAGCGCTGGCTCTTCGGCTTTGAAACAGAGATGAGCACTGCCCCCTAGAGTCGGGAACAACTAAAACATATGTGCGAGGGGAACCTTTACCTTTACCTTGTCTAGGATGTTTGGTCAATTGGAATCTACAGATATCCTGATGAAAGTTCTCTATGTCTAAAAACTCAGGAGTTGGGTTGCTATCAAACCACACATTCTCCATTAGCCGTGTATTGTCCATCATTGCCAGTAGAGAAGAGAAGAACCAGTGGTCAGTCCTGTAAATAGTGTTAAATTCAATGTCTATGGAGATTCTCAGTCATCCAGGTTCATGGTTGGCCCAAAGGTGCTTTCTCAAGAGGCAACTAGACTTCCTGGTTTTTCTTTGAAGACGTTTCGCTTCTCCTCCAAGAAGCCTCTTCAGCTCTGGCTTCAGCTCTATGCAAGGAATATTAATCCTTCCATTTCCAGCCATCCAGTCAGAGCTGAAGAAGCATCTTGGATGAGAAGTGAAACATCTTTGAAGAAAATGAGCCGCCCAATCAATCAATCAATCAATCAATCAATCAATCAATAAAATCCAGTTGCCTCTTGAAAAAGCACCTCAGGGATAGTGCTAGACTCCCAATTCCTGTCAACCTCAACCAAGTGTGCCAGTAGTTGGGAATGATAAGAGTGCAAATTCCAGATCCTTTGAAGGACTTGAGATCTCATGTCTCTGCCTGACATCAAATTCCTAGGTCAACGAACATTCTTCTAAAATTTTCCCATTGCCCTCATGGATGTATAAGACTTAAGGATGGACAATCTTTGACTTCCAGATGTTGCTCTTACAACTTCCAGCATCCCCTACGTACATTGGCTAAGACTTTTGGGAATGTACTTCAAGATATGTGTGTGGTTATTTTCTTGGCCACCTTACTTAGAGGGACTCTGAATTCCTCTATCTCTCTGTCCTTACTGAATCTGAACCAAGATTCGATATTCCTTTAAGATTTAAGATTACCTTCTTAGCCTTGGAATTTCTCCAGGGCTTTTAGCTCAGATCTTTTCATCGCTCACTGCTCTTAAAAGGGTTAACATGGAATAATCCACAGATATTTTGCCCTGGACTCCTAGAGGAAGGGGGACAAATCAATAAGCCAAAGAAATATCCTAAACAAATGGGATGAATGCAATCCCTACGAGCCAAACCACAGCTTTGGAATTTATGTGGGAGGAAAAAAGTTACAACGGCAAAGGAGGTAGAAGAAGGATGGAATGTTATTGGAAGCTAATTTTAAATGTTATTTATTAGCTTGTTTTGGACATCCTGTCCCCATCTTTCCATGCCAAAAGATTATTCCAAGGTGGTGTAAAAAATGCTTTCGTAACAAAAATAAGCTAAAATAATAATCTCCCAAGGCAGCAAAGAAATCTATAGAAATCTGACTGAGGGACTTGAATAGGGAAAAAGGACGGTTGAAATAAATGCATCCTTGTACTTTCTTAAAAAGGTTCTCTTGGGAAACCACTTCATAACTTACCTGGTCAAGCGAAAAGGTCAAGATGGGACTTCTTTGATAAGGCAATCCATTAGCTGAGGTACCAAATGCTAGATTTTCACAGCTAAGAACATGCTTCCAACATCAGTTTCTTTGGGCAGCCTCTTTCAATTTCAATTTATAGAAAAGAATATAGAATAACAGAGTTGGAAGGGACCTTGGGAGGTCTTCTAGTCCAACCCCCTGCTCAGGCAGGAAATGCTACACCACTTCAGATAAATGGTTATCCAACACCTTCTTAAAAACTTCCAGTGTTGGAGCATTCACAACTTCTGCAGGCAAGTTCTTCCACTGATTAATTGTTCTCATTGTCAGGAAATTCCTCCTTAGTTCTAAGTTGCTTCTCTCTTTGGTTAGTTTCCACCCATTGCTTCTTGTTCTGCCCTCAAGTGCTTTGGAGAATATCTTGACTCCCTCTTCTTTGTGGCAGCCCCTGAGATATTGGAAGACTGCTATCCTGTCTCCACTAGTCCTTCTCTTCATTAAACTAGACATACCCAGTTCCTGCAACCGTTCTTCATGTGTTTTATCCTCCAGTCCCCTAATCCTCTTTGTTGCTCTTCTCTGCACTCTTTCTAGAGTCTCAACATCTTAGGCAACTTCCAGATGTATGGCCTTCCCATTCCCAGAATTCCTTGAGCAGAATATCCATACATGAGAATTCTGGAGATTGAGATCCAAACAGCTTAAAGAGAGACAGTTTAGGGATGGTGACTCTAGAATGATCATAGAAGCTCCATGGGAGTTGAAGCTTGACACATCTGGGCATCATGTTAACGTAACTTAGCAGTGTGTAGGGCACAGTATTCAGATTTACGTAGCTTTGTTGGCATAGCTGAGATGAGTGGCATGGTGTCCTAGGGGTGAAGACACTGCCTCACACTTGGAAGGTTGAGAGTTCAATCCCAGGTAGCGGCAGATGTTTCTCTCCTAAGGTGCAAAGAAAAAAATATCTGCTGCTGTGAACTCCACGTGCTGTCAGGAAGGGCAGCCGGCCAGTAAACGCTCAGCTCCATCCCAACTCTACCCCTAATTAAGAGATTAAAGGGTTGTAAGGGAGTTTTACTGGTATGGCTAAAATCTTGCGTACGATCATATCATTTAAAAATGATCTAGATAATGAATTTTCTTTCTTCTTTTTTTCTTCCCTTCTTCTTGAGTGCCGTTTATATGACCTCCGAGCAGACAGAGAGGTGGCCATTTATTCCAAAGAAAGCATCATCTTCGGAGCATCCAGCGTGGATTTTTCTCTTAGTGGTGAGATGTGGACCCTGATGTATTTTCTTTCCTCATGGAACTAACAAGGAGGAGAATTAAGCGTGGTCTCCTTCCAGTTTAGCTTGGCTGGCGATAGCAGCATCAGTGAAGTTAAACTCTTCCAGACTTTGAAACTTAAAACAGTCCCTCCTGAGTTGGTCCTTCAACTCTAGGTGTGTTTCAGCTCTTTCGCTTAGAAAATATATATATATGAAGTTAACTAGCTAAAGGTGTAGCATTGACTTGATTTGAATTTAACTGCTCAAGGTGGAGTGCACACAACTTTTCCTTTAGCCCAGTGGACTCACTCAGATAGGTGCGTGGGGTGAGGTTTATGACACTGAAGTAAAATCACAAAGTCATAAGGTGGGAAAGTTGAGCTGAGAATTTACAGCTTTGTTGTGAAGTATGATTGCTGGCTGAAGATCAATTTTTCCCTTTAGAATTGAAAGTGGTTTTCTTCCACTTGCGAATCTGTTTGGGGAGCTTTGATTGATTGAGTGTGTCAACAGCATAATTGATTGACCGATTGTGTCGTCAGCATAACGCTGTGATTCAGAATAAAGCGTAACAGAGTTGGAAGGGACCTTGGAGGTCTTCTAGTCCAACCCCCTGCCCAGGCAGGACACCCTACACCATTTCAGACAAATAGTTGTCCAATCTCTTCTTAAAAACCTTCAGTGTTGGAGCATCCACAATTCTTGGAGGCAAGTGGTTCCACTGATTAATTGTTCTCATTGTCAGGAAATTTCTCCTTAGTCCTAGGTTGCTTCTCTCCTTGATTAGTTTCCACCCATTGCTTCTTGTCCTGCCTTCAGGTGCTTTGGAGAATAGCTTGACTCCCTCTTCTTTGGGGCAGCCCCTGAGATATTGGAGCATTGCATATTGGAATCTGACCTGACCAGCATTTTGTCTACAGGGCGTTTATTATTTGCGGGCTACAACGACTACACCATAAATGTTTGGGATGTTCTGAAAGGATCTCGCGTCTCCATTTTGTTCGGCCACGAGAACCGCGTTAGCACTTTGAGGGTTTCGCCCGACGGGACTGCGTTTTGTTCTGGATCTTGGGATCACACTCTAAGAGTAAGTAAGGATGTTGTCTTCATCTCTCTCTCTCTCTCTCTCTCTCTCTCTCTCTCTCTCTCTCTCTCTCTCCCTCCCTCCCTCCCTCCCTCCCTCTCTCTCTCTCTCTCTCTCTCTCTTTCTTTCTTAAATCCAAAGGAGAATCCCTGTAACGACGCTAATCATTGTTTGATGTTTTTCTCCACAGATCTGGGCTTAAGTAGCAGGGCAGTTTCCCACCATGTATTCACATAGGGAACCATAGGATCGCAAACCCCACGGAACATCAGTTTAATGGGGGGGGAGGAAACCTGCCGCAAAGAACTCTATCACGACCTTAAATGGATGGTGAAAAGATGGAAAGAGACACCGTGTTAGTATTTATCACATCGCTGCCCAATTCAAAGCTACTTCTAGATAGACAATATATATAGATAGATATATAGATAGATATACCTTTATCGTACGCGAGGGGCGCTGGGCGTGAGAGTTTATGTGTTGCTATAGTCAGAACATGTTTTTAATTCTCTTTTTTTGAAACTACTGTACCTTTTTTTTTTTTTTGTCCTTTGATAGAGAGGATAATCATTCTAAAGCCAGACTTTTGGAGAAATCATAACTGGTTAGCATTTTAAATCACGCTGTCCATGTCGTGTTTGCATGAAATGACGTTCCTTTCTAAAGTCGATTTGGCATTAAAATAGAAACCAGTGTAAGGGGTTGGTGGTTGTTGTTTTTTTGCTTTGGATTTTTGTTTTTTTTGTTTTTTTTTTAAAGAAATCAGGGTATCTGAGGGTTTGTTTGCACATTCCATATTAGAAGCAGGACGAGAGGAAGCGATTCTCTTTCCTTGCTCTTCAAGGTCTCAGGTGACACAGAGAGAGAGAGAGAGAGAGACAGTGCTGTGCAATGGGTAGGCTGGATTCGAAGTCCCCACTCAGCCGTGAAGCACACCGGGTGCCCGTGGCCTCAGTCACTATCTCTCAACCTAGCCTACCTCATAAGATTGTTGTGTGGGGGGAAAAAAACCCCTCCACAAAGTGGTGCAGAAGACGAATGACGCTGCCTTGGTCATCTTGGGAGTCAATTCGGGATAGAAAACAGAGGCCGTATAAATTGAACGAGTGACTGCAAAGCTCTTTGGGTGGGATCTGGCTTGATGACAGGACCTCTCCCGGTTACTTGAGGCCCCATCCAAAAAGATTGTGGGGAACGGAAAATCTGGTGCATCGACCAGATTTCCATCTTCCTTTTGGCTCTTATGGAATGCATGCATCAAACCTGATTGGAAACCGTCTTTCTTCCAACCGAAAAGAAACGAATAATTCAAATTAAAATTGGTGGTTTGTATTTGCTGTTTCTGTGAGCTGGATCCAAGGGGTGCCCAAATTCAGGTAGTCCTCGATTTACAACAGCTCATTTAGTGACCGAAGTTGCAACGACACTGAAAAAAGTGACTTATGACCATTTTTTGCACTTATGACCGCTGCAGCATTCCCCATGGTCAGGTGATTTATCTTCGGATGCTTGACAACTGGCTCACATTTATGACGGTTGCAGTGTCCCGGGGGGGGGGTCGCGTGATCCCCCTTTGCGCCCTTCTGATAAGCAAAGCCCATGCGGAAGCCAGATTCACTGAACACTGTTGTTACTAACTTAACAACTTGCCGTGATTCACTGAACAACAGTCGTAAAATGGGGCAAAAGTCATTTAGCAAATTTCTCACTTAACAACATCAATTCTGGGCTCAGTTGTGGTCGTAAGTCGTGGGCTGCCTGTACCATCGGGTTGTAACTTAACTTGGACATATTTCCAGCCACGGCATCCTTCGATCCTTCGAATGATCGAAGATCCTTGCGATTCTGAAATTCCAATGGCCGCCGTCCCTGTGATCCCATTTCAGGTCCTTGGCAATCGGCTCGCATTTGTAGCCATTTGCAGCTTTAATCTGATTTACAATGCTTTGCTGAAAACTGATGTTTACGTCCCGTTTTCAACAAAACCGCCTCATAGCGAACAATGGTTCCGCTTAACAACCGCAGCATTCGCTTAATGGCTGTAGAGTTCACTTTACAACCGTGGCGGATGATCCCTTAATGACTGTAAGGTTGTAGAATCGGGCCTGGTCATGTGACGATCTGCTTATGACCGACTTACGACTGTAACGGGCAAGGTTTCCTCCTGGTTGTAGGTTGAGGTCTCCCTGTCTTGTTAGGAAGACAGGATTACTACCAGGGATCAGTTGTTGGCCTAATTTCGGGAAAATGCTATTTTTTATTAGTTTATAGTATAAAATACAAAAATTAGTTGTTGGCCTTAATTTCAAAGACATCTCAAAGTGTTGCGTTTGGTCAACAAATCTGTTTTTTTCCCCTTGTTGGATGGGGAGGAAGGGATGATGACCCCCCCCCCAAAATATGGTAAATGAAGAGGTTGGAGTCCTCTGTTCACACGAAGAGCAACCCATTAATAGGTTATGCTTTGAGGAACATTCTTTAGGAGAGTAGAGTCCCTAATAACAGTCAGCAAAGCAGTGTGCTCCAAATCCTGTTTTTCCCACCTCAGGGGTGTCCAATCTTGGCAACTTTTTAAGACCGTGGACTTCAACTCCCAGAATTCCTGAGCCAAGCAACTTTAAGACTTGTGGACTTCAACTTCTAGAATTCCCCAACCAGCCATTCTGGGAGTTGGAAGCCCCACAAGTCTTAAAGTTGCCAAGGTTGAACATTCCTGCCTTAAATGGACCTTCTGAACTCATGCCACTGAAATACAGGAGAAAGGCAACTTCCCCATAATTTTTTGACCAAAAACAACGCAACATAGAGATCAAAGCCATTGGCATATTTTCTTTAGTTCAAATTTAATCATAGTGCTGGGAGGCAGGATTTTTTTTTCTCTCTCTCTCTCTCTCTCCCTCCCAAGAAAAGAATTTTTTTTTTTTACTGAATGGGCTGTTTTTAAAGCAGAGTTTGTGACCTTTGGGTGGTGAATTGAAATTGGAAGGCTTTTTGAAGATAGCGTATAGAAGTTATTGTGATTATTATTTAGAAAGACGGATTCATGAAGATGACTTCATGGGACTTCTCTGAATCTACATACACAGGTCTAGGAAGAGGTGTAAATATTTCTAAGTGATTCCATGTTTCTAGGGAATTGACATTCTGCCATTCCTGGAAACAGCTTGACAAATCACTGCCCTGGCACTTTCCACTTGGAAAAGAGATCGGCGTCCTTTTTTATGACATGGGCAACCAGTTTTGCCCATTGTCCAAGGGGCTGCCCTGTAGAAATGACCACTGTTAGCTTGTGATGCAATGACGATCTGACACTCCAAACACTTTGATGCAGTATTTATTGGTGAGATGTTTTGAGTTTTGAATGGAATACGTAGTGTTGATTAACTTATGAATGGCTGCACTATAATAAATTGTATTTTACATACCGAGGATTGTTGGCTCTGGATTGTCTCTCTGGATATCGAACAAGAAATGTGTTTGCTTCATTATGTCACATATACCTAGTAGGGGTGGGCTCTACTTACCTTTACTACTGGTTCGCATTGCGCCCGCACGCACTCTTCTGTACATGCACAGAAGTTTCTGCACATGTGCAAATCAACTTTGATGACATCCGGGTCAGTGGGCGGGGCCTCCTGCCAGTTTTACTACCGGTTCTTGGGAACCGGTCCGAACCGGGGGCAACCCACCACTGGTACCTAGCCTAAAGACTGTTTTGGATCTTATGAAGGAGAATCCGGTGTATGTCTGTTTGGAAATAAGGGCCAGCTAGCTAGGTACACTTGGAAATGCTATCTCCAGTGAATTGGAGACTGATTCTTTTACTAAAATACCAAGCAGTGTTTCGTTCCTTGATTGAGTTGATTAACAGATCTGAAATATTTGTTTTATAGAGTAGATTAGGAATAGGAAAGGAGAGGAGGAATGGAATGGAATTGGGAATGGAAATGGGAATAGAATAGACTAGAGTAGAGTAGAATTAATACAATAGAATAGAGAAGAGTAGAGTAGAATTAATACAATAGAATAGAGTAGAATTAATACAATAGAGTAGAGTAGAATTAATACAATAGAATAGAATAGAATTAATACAATAGAATAGAGTAGAGTAGAATTAATACAATAGAATAGAGTAGAATTAATACAGTAGAATACAGTAGAATTAATACAGTACAGCAGAACAAAACAAAACAGAATAGGCTCTATTTGGCCAAGTGTGATTAGACACACAAGGAATTTGTCTCCAGTGCAGAAGCTGTCAGTGTACATGCAAAGCAACAGACTAATAATATTATCATAATAATGAAACCAGTAAGAAGTGGTAGAGAAGATGAGAATATTAATAATAATACTACAGGCATAGATATAAGACTATGCTGTGGGAATTAAGTGTTCAGCAGGGTGATGCCTCTGATACTATATCCAGGACAAATCAATTCTGCAACTCTTCTGGGAGAGATTAGCCCAGGGGTCGGCAACCTTAAACACTCAAAAGAGCCACAAAGTTCCTAACCGGAAGCCCCCCCCCATTCAATTCTGGAGCCGACTGGAAGTCCAGTTCCCCCACCATAGAGTCTCTTCCTAGTGTGGCGTCCTGTTTCCTCTATCTGCCCTAGCCAAAAGCCCTATCAATTGTGGAGCCAACCAACAACAGGGAGCCGCAGCAGAGGGATGAAAGAGCCACATGCGGCTCCAGAGCCGCAGGTTGCCGACCCCTGGGTTAGCCAATCTATGTCCTACACAGGTAGTCCTTGACTTAAGACCAAAGCATCTCACCATGGAGATTTCATTTCGTACACGTGAATGATACCTTTGTACATGTGAACAACTCCACCGTGCACGAACAAGAGGAAGGCTTTGTATTGGTGAAGATGCTTCCATCTGCCTTGACTATGGACTGTTTGTTGCCGTGTGAATCCCTTGGAGGAGCTAAGAATCAGTTCGGTGGCTTGGGAGACATTTGCTGCATGGTGGATCTTGATATTGTCTACCTTAAGACGATTAAGGTAACTAAGATGATTAAAGGCCTGGAGTCAAAAACATGTGAAGAATGGTTGATATGGCTAGTCTAGAGAAAAGAAAGACTAGGGGTGACGTGACACCGGTACTCCAGTATTTGAGGGACTGCCACAAGGAAGAGGGGATCAAGAAGACAAGAAACAACGGATGGAAGCTAATCAAGGAGAGAATCAACCTGGAATTAAGGAGAAACTTCCTAACAGTGAGGACAATTAACCAGTGGAATAGCTGGCCTTCAGAAGTTGTGGGTGCTTCATCCCTGGAGGTTTTTAAGGTAAGAATGCACAGCCACCTATCTGAAATGGTATAGGGTTCCAGCTCTATTCTGATTGTACTATTGATTGTACCATTTGGAGACTATAAACTCCACATTGAGATCCTTTTGAAGAAAAGCAAGATGTCAAGGAGATAGATGATCCTCTCTCTCTCTCTCTCTCTCTTTTTTTTTTAAAAAAGGATTCTTAGTTCATTCCCCTGTGGGTGACTTAGAACATCTTTGAGATTCAACCAAGCATGGCTATGCCAGCTTAACTGTAACGAGGAGAGGTTTTATCACTCCAGCAATGGCTGGGAGATGTTAGGAAGGTGCTATAAATCACCCGTAGAGAACTGGCCTTCCTTCAGACCAAGGATACTAGAGGATCAATATAGGACCAGATGGTCTCTCAGCAGAACATTTTCTCTGGGCTTAAGGAGGAAATGCATTCCGCCCAATGGGGTATCTTCCTAGGGCACAGTAAGCTTGACAAAGGCTATTTGGAATAAACATTAGATGATGAAGGTGGAAAATGTCAGGAGGGTTTATTTTGAAAACTTGGTTTTGGAAGTCGGGGGCTGCTTCCGTGCAAAACAGATCTCTTCAATAGCTTAATGTTTGCACCTTTGATGACATCTTGTTCCTTGTACAGCTGAAAAAATGTGAATTTAAGGATGAATCACACAGCCAGGTTACGAACCGGCTAGTCCAAATTTCATCACTCCAGTCTCAAATCCCAGGACAGAAGATTGGATGAAAATAAAATAAAATAAAAATAAAATAAACCCCCCCAAACCCTTCCCAAGGGTATGAATAACTGAAAAACAAAGGAGAAAACCAAGCAATTTTTCCACATCTTTGCCTCCCAGCATCTGGCGCCCTTCAAAGCGAGATGAAAGTTAAGGCATTTTATTATAAATCATCATTTATTGTAAATTATAAATGGGCGTTTGAAACCAGCTTTTCCAATTCTCTCCCCTCTCCCCCGTCCCTTTTCTCCAACCCAGCAATTTATTTCAATACTGAAATGCAAGGAACAGCTTCGGCTTTTATTAAAGATGTTGACATTGCTGATGAAAACTTGCAGGGAGGGTGGGGGGGTTCGGGGGGGAGGATCCATCTATGGAGAGTTTCAATTGAAGAAAGAAAAAAATCGGTAGCCATCCTGAAAATGCTGACTTTGGAGTAAGATGACGGAAGGGGGTTAAAAATAAAAATAAAAAATCGGTTAGCTTTCCAAATCTTTTCATTTCTTTCAAAGGCTTCCAAGCTGTCCCCTGAAATCTAAAACCTTCCAAAACATTGTACAAATATGGTAATATATTTGCAACTTGTTGCACGAGAGAAAAAGCCATTCAAATATCATAAAACTGGAAAGTCGAACCAAATGGCTAGTCCATATTTTCTTTCCAAATAGATGGCTTGAATGTACAATGAAGTTAGGATTTCTAAAAAAAGAAAAGAAAAAAAATAACCTTTGGAAATATTATGCTTATAGTTTCAGTAGCAATGCAGTTGTTTGAATGACAAAACCAGCATATTAAAACCTTCAATAACAGAGATATAGTATTATGTGTGCAAGAGACACTTACTATACGTCTACCATGTTTTCCCAAAAATAAGACCCTGTCTTAAATTTTTTTGAACTCTGCTTGGCCTTATTTTCAGGGAGGTCTTATTATTTTGGGGCGCTTGGAGCAAGACGGGGCTCCTCTTGCCATCTTATCTGATTTCCAGCTCTGTCTCCTTAACCCTAACCAGAGGAAATGGTGGGGACCAGCTGCGTATGCATTTAAATATTTTTGGAGAGGGTTTACTTTCGGCCGAGGGCTTATTTTCGGGGAAACACGGTACATTTATCTGTCCTGGAATTATGATGAACTGAACCGTAGTTTAATATTTCTGATATATCAGTAGGTGAGCCTTATAAACTGCCATAATAACTGAGAATTTGGGTGCTGTAATCCTAAAACACACTGGGAAAGTTTAAAAAAAAAATCTGAATAATCCAAGGAAGCCCAAGCTTGTGTGTTTAAAAAATGATGGTGTGGTTAACTCCTGACTTTGGGGCCCTTCTGGCTAATCCCAAACTTCCTTAGCCATACATTAAATAAATTCAGTTCCCTGGGTTTAATATCTGTGTAGCTAAATAGGCTTTCAATCAAACAATTAAATATTACGGCTATAGACTAGCAGACGTAGGGCTTCCATTAACCTCACCTGGGGCTGAAATTAATAATGTTTGCACAACCTGTTGGGCCCACTGCGGTATTTGTTCACCTAAAGATTATGTCAAAACAGTCCTATCACGGCTTGAAATAATGGCAGAATTGTCACATCTCTAGCGAAGTGGTCTTGTTTGCACAACCCATGTCATTTGATTCCTAAATTAACCCATGTTCCGGTTTTCTAGAATGCATCGGCCCACCTTATCGAGAGCAGCAAGAACTTGTCAACATGCTACATAGACCTGTGCACGTATGTTAAGCAAGGGATGTGCAGGGGAAGAGAACAAGTCACGATGTGCCTCAGCAATGCAAATATTTGTGCCATGCCGTGGCATCACGTGCCGTTTTGACATCATCGTGGCTTGCTATGCAACCAAGATTAAAACTAGGGATCCGTGGTGCTCTCCGATCTGGGTTTGTTTTCTTGCAGATGTTTCATTACTCAAGACTAGGTAACAACATCTGCATGGATGTTATTCCCTAGATGGGTAGCGAAACGTCTTCAAGAAAACAAGCAAGCTCAGAGCGCATCAAGGAGCCCTTCATTTTATTTTATTTTTAAATTTTGATTTATATGCCGCCCTTCTCAGGAGACTCAGGGCGGTTTACAATGTGCTCAGCAATAGCCTTCATTCTTTTGTATATTTATACAAAGTCAGCTTATTGCCCCCACAAACTGGGTCCTCAATTTACCTACCTTAGAAAGGATGGAAGGCTGAGCCAACCTTGAGCCTTGGCGAGATTCGAACCTGCAGTAATTGCAGGCAGCTGGTCTTAATAACAGGGTGCTTTAAACCACTGTACTACCAAGGCTCTGGGTACCTCTGAGCTACAAATATTCTCCTTTAAGGTTAAAATTAACCTAATGTAGTATGTTGCAAGTCTGGGCTTACTAAGTAACTGGGTTTACTAAGATGTGGATGACAAATTAAGGTTGTTTTGGTATGGTGCGTGTAGAACAAACCAGCTATCTTTGGTTTCGTTTACTTTGCTGCAGTCCTAGGCCATCTTCAGGAAAGCAGAACAATTGGTGGTGACAGACCGTGGTGCAAAAATTATAAAAGCTAAAAAGTTTTAGGGTTTTTCCAGATAAGGTTTATAGTAATGGGATATCTACGCTGCTATTTCTTATTTTCTGTCTTTCTGTCATCCTCTGTAGCCGAGGGGGGCAATTGAACTGACAGCAGTTGTCCTTTAGCAACAACCGACAGAGCTACCAAGTTTCCCCTTCTTCTGGCTGGCATTTCTCTAGAAGTAAAACTTACCTGCATTGATTTATGGGTTAGTTTTTCTTAACCCTTTGATCAACAGAGAGATTTATTTTTCTCTTCATTTAGGAAATCACCCCCCCCTAATGGATACGAATAAAGCAAAATAAAATAACGCAAAAGCAAAATAAAAAATAACACCCCCACCCCACCCCAAATGAAACCTAAATTGAATAAGGAAGACCTCAAATGTGGACTCGTCTCCAAGAAGATCAGAAAAACTCCAGCTTGAACTTCTGCGGAGATACAGCATATTTGGTTTGAGCCAATTCTGTGGTGTGAATTCAAGTCATTGTAGTTTAACGTGAAGTGCGAATGCTATCAACAGTGGCTTATGCAAAAAAAAATCATGGTTAAAGTTTACAGATCAGATATTCCAGCAAGTTCAGGAGATCAAGGAATATCGGAAGGACCTAGAAATGACACTCTTTTAAGAGGAATGGGTAAAATAACTACTCGGGGTGTTTATTCTGCAAAATGAGAAGAGCGAGGAGAGGTATTATGGTAGCCTTCGGATATTTATTATTTATTAGTCCAATTTATATGCTGCCCTTCTCCGTAAGACTCAGGGCGGCTTACAATGCATTATAGCAATAGCCTGCATACTTTTTTGTATATACCTGCTTATTAGGGCTTTCGGTCCCCCCTAAGCGGTGTTGTTTTATACAAAGTTGGCTTATTGCCCCCACAATCGGGGTCCTCCGGGATATCACAGGTTGTCCCATACAAGTTGACCTTCTCAGTTGAACCAATGGATAAACCCGAGAAGCAGACTTAGATGGACTCTTGATCAATGCAGTTTAGTATGGCCTCAAGAAAAAAAATTCTGATTATCCCAGCTAACAGCCAGTGGAACAGCCTGCCACATGAATTTATCTCGGGTGCATAAGGATCTCTGAGCAGAAGGTTGGACTCAATGACCCATAAGAAACCTCAATGGGTTTTTGAGATCAAACTGACCCCTTACAGAATCCTTCTTATGGAAAAAAAAAACCCCATCCTCCAGCAGTCCATTCAAGCAAATTTAGCAAGGCTGTCAGGGTTTCCCCGATTTCTCACTGCACCAAGACCCCCCCAAATGCGGACTGCAGCTCACGTTTTCCTTCAATCCAGGCTCCCCCCTCCTCTTCGCGGGCTGCAACCCCTCCTTCCACCCAGCCCAAATGCCGCAACTGATGCAGAGCAGGGTTTCCAAAGAAGGTGGGGGGGGGGAGAAAAGAAAAAGACACCCACCACCCCACGATTTCCTGCTCAAATAAACCCAGTTCAAAATAAATAAATAAAAAAATAAAACCCCCCACCCTACATCCAGTTTGAAAGAAAATCGCTCTATTCCCAATTTAAGGCACCCCGCATCATACAGGCGACGTCTAGAAAAAAAAACTTGCATTTTAAACTTAACCCCCAACCCCCCCCGAAACCCAGACAGCCCCCCCCCACGATTTAAAAAAAAAAAAAAAGAAAAAAGATCTGGCTTGAAAAAAAAAAAGAGGAAAAAAAAAGAAAGAGATCTGGCTTGCAAAAAGAGAGAGAGAGAGAGAGAAAGAGATCTGGCTTGGAAAAAAAAGAGAAAAAAAAAGAAAGATCTGGCTTGGAAAAAAAAAGAGAAAAAAAAAAGAAAGATCTGGCTTGGGAAAAAAAGAGGAAAAGAAAGAAAGATCTGGCTTGGAAAAAAAAGATCTGGCTTGGAAAAAAAAAAGAGAAAAAGAGATCTGGCTTGCAAAAAAAAAAAAAGAAAAAGAAAGAGATCTGGCTTGAAAAAAAAGAGAAAAAAAAGAAAGATCTGGCTTGGAAAAAAAAGAGATCTGGCTTGCAAAAAAAGAGAGAAAAAAGAAAGAGATCTGGCTTGCAAAAAAAAAAAGAGAGAGAAAAAAAGAGATCTGGCTTGCTGAAAAAAAAGAGAAAAAGAAGATCTGGCTTGCCAAGAAAAAAAGAAAGAAAAAAAAAAAGAGAGATTTGGCTTGCAAAAAAAAAAAAAAAAAAAAACCCGCAGCGCAACCCGGCTGCAGAGCGCGCGTGAGAACGCAGACAGGCGCGTGGGTTGGTTCCCCCCCCCTTCCATTCCTCCCCCCCACCAGCTTTCCGGGGCGGCCCTTCCAACAGCCGCGTCCCTCCCCCCCCGCCCCCCCCCAATTTCCCCATCTTTCCCTTTCGCCCCCGCTGCAGTTCCCCCCTTCCTCCGGCGAGAGGCGGCTCGGCACTGCAGCTCCGGGCCGGGAAGGCGGAGCCGCCGAAGCCGGGCGACACGTGGGCAAACGGGGGGCGGAGGCGGCTTCTTAGGCAGCGGTGGGCAGCCGGTGCTGGGCCTTGTCGGTCTCCGCCGCCGCCGGGACGAGGCGACCATGCCGGGCGCGCTGCGGGAAGAGACGGCGCAGCTGCTGGGCGACTACGTGCAGCACCGGGTGGGGGGCGCGGCGCTGCCTCCTCCGAGCCGCACAGCCGAGACGCTCCGGCGGGTGGCCGACGAGCTGGAGAGCCGCGAGCGCCTTTTCTTCCGCAACGCCTGCAGCGCCGCCGCTTTACCCGACCCGGACGATGCGGCGGCTTTGCTGGGCCGGGTAGCCACGCAGATGGAAGCCGAAGGCGGGCTGAACTGGGGCCGGGTGGTGGCGCTGGTCGTGTTCGCCGGCAACCTGGCGGCGGCGCTGGCCGAACGGGGGGCTCCGGATCACAGCGGCGCCCTGGTCGAGGCGCTGGCCGCCTACCTGGCCGAGGAGAGGCGCGACTGGCTGGAGGAGCACGGCGGCTGGGTAAGCGCGTCCTCCCGGCCGAGCCTTGCCTGCCTTCCTCCCTCCCTCTTCTCTTCTCTCACCCGCTTGCGGCTCCTGCGGTCCCCCCCCCCCCACTTCTGCAGCCCTTCCCGCTGGAGCCGCACAAGGAGCGACGTCTGCCGACTCTTGCTTAGCTAGTCTTCTTTGGAGCCCCGCTTCCTTCCCGGCTTTTCTCTTTTTTTGGGGGGGTGGGGGATCCTCTACCCGCTGCCCCCCCTCCCATGGCTTTTTCCCCTCCCTCCCTCTCCCTTGCCGCCCCTCCCTCCCTCCCTCCTCCTGCAGCCCCCCCCTCCCTCTTCCTGCAGCCCCCTCCCCGAGCCTGGCTGCAGCAGCCTTGACCTTGGCGCAGAAGGCTTTTCGCCGGCTGCTTAAGGATGCGCGCTCGGACGCAGAGGCTTCTTTTCCTCTCCTCCCCCCCCCCCCCTCCCCCCCCCCCCCTCCCCGGCTCCGTGCTGAGCTGGCGCCCCCCCCCCCCCCTTCCTCACCAGCCCCCCCCTCCCTCCTTTCTCTCCCCCCCCTCCCCAGCCCCGATGCGGAGCCCGAAGGGGGCAGAATTGCAGAGGGAAGAAGAGGGGAGGGGAGGCTTGACTGACGGCTGGGTGCAGCGCAGAGGCCCCGGCTGGAAAGGAAGAAAAAAAAAAAAAAGCATTTTTTTGTTCCCATATAAGGGAAGCAACGGCGGGCAAACCGTGAGAAGTTGCCTTAGAAAGCGCTTTCCTTGGAATCTGGGATCGGCCTCCCCTCCCCTCCCTCCCTCCCGTCTCTCGCCTTCCTTCCCTTCTCTCTCCTCCTTTCCCCCCTTCCTTGCTTGCTTTTTTTCTTTTTTTTTTCATTTTTTTTCATTTTTTTTGCTTGCTACGGGCTACCGATTTGAGCCGCATTATTTATGCGGCTCACATCACGCTGCAAAAGTGAGCTTTGCCTTCAGGTTGGAGACTGGGGAGGGGGGGGAAGGGGGCTGCTTTCTGGGACGAGCTGTGTGCCCCGCAGGCTGGCAGCTGATGGAGCTTTGAGAGACACCCCACTACCCAGCCACCCACCCACCCACTCCCGCCTGCCCTTGAAGCAGCCTGTGTGCCAAGGAAACCTGCAAAAGGGGGAAGGGGCTCCTAAGGAAGGGGCCCTGAAAAAGCCTGCAGAGTTGCAAACCAACCCCCCCCCCAAATGCTCAGGTTGCACCCCCCTCCCCTCTTTTAGAACCAATTTCTAAAACCGTTCCTCAAAAGCGCACCCGAATCTGCCTAGAATGTGGCATTGAGTTAAGGTTTCTTTGCCTTTTTCTCTTTAAGGGGTGAGGGGGGGGGGATTTTCCTTCATTTTAAGGAAACCCCGTGTACCTCTTCCCCCCCCCCTCCCAAGCACACCCTAAGCTTTCCTGCACAATTTTGCGCTAGCTACTCTCTGGTGTGGCTTTCCCTCCGTATTATTGTGTAAGTCATGTGATTTCGTTTGCATCTGGCTTCGGGTGCATTTCAGCTATTGTGGTTTTAGCTGTCGCTCTTGGCCTGATGTGCTGGCTGCCAAAGACCTGGTTAGATGCGAGTTAAGAAAACCTGGCTTGATGCAAATGAGGCTGAACCTCAGCCTCTTCTGGTTGCTTTTTTTTGGGGGAAAAGGACGGGGCCTGGGGGGGGGGGAACTCTCTTCTCCGAAATTGGGGCTAACACGAAAGGCAGGACGCTTCTCAGGTCTATCCAGGTAGAGGCCACACCTGGATAGATTCTTCCAGGTCTATAATTGCTTGCCAGCAGACTTATACTTTGTCCAGCATTTCAAAATATTTACTTAACGAGAGGGATAGGTAGGTTTCCTGTGAATTTTAGTTCACAGCCAGATAATAAGACATCTGTTTAATTTTATGCTAATCCAGCCTGACGGGGGAAAACAGATGGCATTCTTCACACTGCCGAACCTTGAGATTAGACCCCCTATATCTTATGAACCAAGTACAGGTAGTCCTGGATTTAACAACAGTCTGTTTAGTGACCATTCAAAGTTACAACAGCACTGAAAAAAAAAATACGACGGCCATTTTTCACACTTCATGGCCTCCCCATGGCCATGTCCTTTACATTCAGATACCTTGACAACTGTCTCGCTTTTATGACAGTCCCAGAATTCCCCCCCCCCCTTTTTTTATTTGATTTATATGCCGCCCTTCTCCGGAGACTCAGGGCGGCTTATAATGTGCTCAGCAATAGCTTCCATCCTTTTGTATATTTATACAAAGTCAGCTTATTGCCCCCACAAACTGGGTCCTCAATTTACCTACCTTAGAAAGGATGGAAGGCTGAGTCAACCTTGAGCCTTGGCGAGATTCGAACCTGCAGTCATTGCAGGCAGCTGGTCTTAATAACCAGCTTAATAACAGGGTGCCTTAGACCACTGTACTACCAAGGCCCTTTTGTGACTTTCTGACAAGCAAAGTCAATGGGGGGAGGGGGGGAAACCAGATTCACTGAACAACTGTGTGGCTAGTTTAACAACGGCTGCGAAAAAGTGGTAAAATAGGGCAAAAACTGTCCCTGAACAACATACATTTTGGGGCTGAATTGCGGTCGTAAGTTGAGGACTACCTGTCGCGATGAACCATGGTTTGCAAAAAGAAAGGGGAGGGGGGGGGGAAAGCCTCAATGAGTTTGTGTAACACGTTAAGCCGTGAAACAAATGGGTTTCCAAGCCCCCCTGGCTGGATATACACGTGTATTGTGGCAAAAAACGGCACAAGGCACTTTTATGACTTTAGCACAATGCGTGAATTGGAGCCAGTGTGTAGTTAAATAGAAGGAAGGTGGGTATAATCCCAGAGTTTGGTAGCATGCACCATGGCAACTGTGGGTGTGCATGGCGGGCGTTTCTGCATCAGATGATTGTAGCTGTCCTAGACCTGACCATTGGACCAAAGAGCATTTTCCTTTGCTCAAAGACAGGTCATATATATAACCGACACCCGGTGGAAAGAATTCTCCTTGAACCTGGAGACAGAAAATGCAGCTTAGATCCTTCACGTAGTATTTGCAGGTCTCTATTGGATTGATTTTTTTTTTATTTTTTTTTGGTAACCTAACCTAGACGGCATCTGGAAGTCTCGAGTTCTAGCAAGTGGATTCTTTCTCTAATGCAGAGGTCTTCAAACTTGGCAGCTTTAAGACTCGTGGACTTCAACTCCCAGAATTCTCTCCCAGAGAATTCTGGGAGTTGAAGTCCACGAGTCTTAAAGCTGCCAAGTTTGAAGACCTCTGCTCTAATGGTACTGCTAGAAATATAGTTGGGTGGTTGTTGTTGTTTTTTGCCCTGAACGTTGGAGGAATGAAAGCTTGGTTGTTCTTTTTGTGTTTAGGCAGAAAGAAAGATTTCCAGAGATTTCTCAGCCAAAATTTTGGGAACAAGGAAACATTAATGAGGACCTTCCGTGGAGGGGTTACAAGTCTTGCTTTCAGCCTTCCGTGATGGTCTGGTCCATCTTCTGGACCAGCTCAAGTTTCAGAGATTGTGAAAATGCAGTAAAATGCAGTAAAAATGGAGAGCAAGAAGGGAGTAGTAGAAACTACCTAGAGAAAAGAGTCTTGGTAGTACAGTGGTTTAAAGCACCCTGTTATTAACACAGCTGCCTGCAATTACTGCAGGTTCGAATCTTACCAGGCTCAAGGTTGACTCAGCCTTCCATCCTTTCTAAGGTGGGTAAAATGAGGACCCAGTTTGTGGGGGCAATAAGCTGACTTTGTATAAAATATACAAAAGTATGAAGGCTATTGCTTAACGCATTGTAAGCCGCCCTGAGTCTCCGGAGAAGGGCGGCATATAAATCAAATTTTAAAAAAAATGATGCTACTTAGAAAAATGTGGCTGGATCAAAAGGATGGTTGCATTTGTATCCTCTTAAGATCTAACTTCTTGAGTAAAGCAGGGGTATCTCCAAAGCCTTAGGATTACAGTTGTGTTTCCAATATAGACTGATTTTTTTGAGGGGTCCTTGGTGCTCTCTGAGCTTGGTTGTTTTCTTGCAGATGTTTCATGACCCAATTGGGTAACATCTTCAGTGCTAGAAGGGAGTGGGTTAATTTGTGCTAACCCTTCCAGCACTGATGATGTTACCTAATCAGGTTATCAAATGTCTTCAAGAAAACCACCAAGCTCAGAGACCACCAAGGATCCTTCCAAAAGTAGACTATTTTGGAAACACAACTGCAATCGTTTCAATCCTACAAATATTCTCCTTTATAGATAGTCTACTTTTTCTCCAAGAGGTAGACATAAAGAGATGGGTCCCCAGCTTCTGTTTTGTTATGAAACAGTTCTCTGAAATAGACTAGTAGGCTGACCCAAAATTTCCAAGATGAACACATGATGGTGCACGCCTTGGAGATGAAAGAAGAAGTGGGGTAGTTCCAAGTCAACATCTAGTGTCATTGAGCTCCACCTCCCATTAGCTAATGTCTGCTTGGCTGCTGCTTTCAGGTGGTGGAAATCCATGAACCTCTGTAGAGTGGTGGGCTTTCCATTTCAGATATGGGACTGTGGTGGCAGTGGCCATTAACTTAGATGGTTTAGAAAGGGGTTGGTCAAGGGCATGGAGAAGACTGTCTTTGGCTACTAGTTGCAACTATACATGAAGTCCAGGCTCAGAGGAGAGAATATATGAGTCCCAGCTAATGAGGAACAAGAGGCTGGAGGTTCATACCAGTTCTGCTTCTGAACTCTCTGAAGATCACGGTTGGCCAACATGGGAGTCCAGTTCCTTCAATCTAATCCAGTAGAGTTTGATTTGAGTTTCTGCTGGTCAGAAACGTTCTCATGAACTTCCCATGAACCTTGCAGAGCCTGTCAGTTTCAACCAAGGAGTTGTCTTCATGTCAAGGTTTAGAATATATTATTCATAGTAAACTGAGGTAAACGGGAATAGCAGGCCGTTCTGGTAGGTTTTCATGGTTTACCTAGTGAGATTTTTGCTTTGTTCCTTATGGGTGGCAAAGATTGGG